TGGAGGGTGCTCTGCCCACCTACTGCTTACCAGAAGTAGAAGAAAAGGGCAATTGGTGGACCAGATCCCGCAATCTCCAACAACCTCCAGTTGCGAATACCATAACTCAAGCCAGCCAAAATAATCTGCCCGACGGCAAAACAGCAGTGAGTAATCAGGACTGCCTTTGTCCGGGAGGAGACACCAACCCATTCTGAAGCTGAAAAGAAGAATGAAGAGTCAGCGTCTTCTTTCTCAAAAAATGCAGGATCATCTTTTGTTATTGCATCTTGAGAGGCCACGTATTTCTGCCTCAGGGCAAGGGCATCTTACTCACCTAAGGCCAAGCAAGTAATCAGCATTCCTGACACTGAAATGCCCACGACACATCTGAAGGCCATGTACACATAGAAATGGGGCACAAAGGCAATTGCTACACCAAACAAGCTCTGAAGGAGGAGAGAGACCAGAAAGACTGGTCGACGGCCGATCCTGTGGAGGAAGAAGGAAGACACAGTCAGTATCTGGTGGGACTCCGTAGGAATGTGTTAGAGTCCAGGTGAAATACTCAGTATATCCCCATCAGGGATTTGGCACCCATGTGAATAAAGCTCCTCTATGTGCCCAAGGAAGTACCCATCAGGAAAAGCAGCATTTCCACTTTTGACCAGTTGTGGAGCTAGCAAAGACAAAAGGAGATGCTGCTAAAGGAACCAGCCCTTGAAGGGCCCCGATGTCCTGTCTTTTGAGAGCAGTGAGGATCAGACTGAATTGGACTGTAGTGCTGGTTCCCCTGTGAGGCACCCTGTACACCCTTCTCCCTTCCATGTTCCCTGTGGATCCTCTAAGGGAGCTGACGACTTTGGTCCAGGTCACCATGAGCTGAGCAGAGCCATGGGAAGGAGGTGCGTGTGGTTTGGTTAATGCAGCTGAAAGTGGGTCCAACTCTGTCCTTGGGTACCTGAGACACCAGTTGGACCTGGACCTGTAAGTCCTAAAGTACCCGCCAATAAGATTGCATCTGGCTCCCTCTCTTTACAACTTTGATATCTACAGATGTCTCAGGTGGACTCTGATGCCCTTGCTCAGGTGAGGTTATCAAGTACTGTGGAGAGGCTATTTCATGCTCAGTGCATGGGCACCCTAAACTCTCATTTGGGCTGTCCCTGGGTGCCAGGCAATGACTCTGGGGAGCTGTCTGTGTTTCCTCACCTGTCACTTAGTGGCCCAAAGATCATGGATCCTAGGAGAAGCCCCGCCATGAAGATAGACTGGGAGATGTCGTTCAGGTCTTTCCTGTCACACACTAGGTCAAACTGCAAAGGAAACACAGCTGCTTTTGCTCTTGACAGACCCCAGCTGCTTTCTGAGGGTGGACAGCCCTTCTGGTCCACAGTGGACCCAGGAATCGGGTGCCCAAGCTCTTGCTTCGACCACAAATTGTGGATGCTGACAGACAGAGCCTTGGACACTGCGTCACCCATGGGATGTGTTGTCGCAGCCCCATAAACATCAATGACAAGCCCTTGGAAAGCAATAATCCTTCACAGGCATGTGAGGAGGACCAGGCTGAAGAATAAGGGAAACTGGCAGGGAGACCCAAAATGTCCCCTTAGATGAGATACATCATAGATTCAAGGGGGATACTGGAAAGAGGAGGGATGGTGGGCAGAACATGTAATGGACTCACACTCCTACCATAGCTGCCTGTGGTCCCCCTGGGGATTCACATCATGGTCAACCTGCACACAGCATCCCAAGGACTACAGCTGTGGTCTGTGTGATGGAGCCAAGGTCCCCCGGTGCCTGGTGTAAGCCTCAGTCTGACTCCATCACCGCTGGCATTGCCCTACAGGGCAGGATATGCCCATTCCTTCCCTTCCACCTCCCCAGCACGTCCAAAGGCGGTTACAGACCTCGGTCACCAAGGACGGTGGTTGTCCTGAGGGGTACACCCAGCCGCTGCTGCCCTTCTCCGTGGCGTTCAGGCCGTACGCCACGATGGAGCTGAGGTTCCAATCCACTGGTGAGTACATGGAGCACTGCTCGTACGCCCCATCCGCGTCCCGGGGCAGGGTGAGGTTCAGCTGCTCTTCCTCGGTCAGGTTGGGGCCGACGGCAAGGATCCAGCTGGTGTTGCAGTGATGAGGCACATCCACAACCATGAACACTTGGCCTAACATTTGGAAAGGATTAAGAAGCAGTGGGAGGGAGAGGAACATTACCAGCAATTTCTGATATAGCCCAAACTCCCCCAGAGCACTTATAAGATCTCTAAAGTCAGCCATGGTGACTGCCTCTGTGGCCAAGCTACTCTAAGGCACATTGCTTAAATAAGCCAATAGCAAATATTAATGTTTAAACTTTGTGAGCACTAAACCTCTAATCAGGTGTGATAAAATCACATGTATCAGCACGTTCATCCATTAAGATGATATATTGCAGTCCTCCAGGGTGCACTTTGTCACCAGCCATTCCCTTCCTGTTCTTGGGGCCAGAACAAAGGTGTCAGAGCATGGCCACTCTTGGGGACAGAGAAGGGCCAACTTGTCTTCTTCCAGCCCAGAGCATCTTCCCAAGCATCTTGAAGGCAACTGTGCTGCAGCACATGGGTTTTGTCCAAGATCTGATGTTGTGACCCTGCAAATGAGGGCTAATTTTCCTAAGTGCAGAGAAGCAAAGTAAAATCTCCACTTTTGTTAATGGCTTAATGAATATATAGCCCATCCTGGAGACTGTAGAAAAGAGAAGCAGAAAAATACTTCTCTAGACCAAGAAATATGACTCATAGTCAAGTAGACTTGGTCTTGACAGCTGTATCTCAAGCTATCGGTTTTCATTTCCCCCCTGTAGAAACCCTGGTTAGTCATAAAACCAGATCTGAACTACTGTGTCTTGGGGAGAATCCTAAAACAGATTTGGCTTAGAGAGTACCCTTGAGAAAAACACAGCATGTTATGCACACAGACATGTAGAGCACACAGGATTTGTGGATAAGCAATGACACCGGCCTGGCTCTGCCCGAGGTTCTGATGTCACTTGAAAAGCAGATTGACCTGATTTCTGCTGCACGTCTGAGCTGCTTCCTGGACAGATTCCCTGAGCAGTTTGTGTCTTTATTCTGGAAACTGGAAAGCTGGATTGCCCTCTGTGTATGAATTTTGGTGTGTGATTTGGCAAAGATCTGTTTGCGTTCACCAGAGCCATAAGGACAGGTCACTGGATGCTGACCTGCTCAATTCATGGCTCCTCTCAAATTCTTTGTCCTTCAGTCTCAGCCCAGATAGTACATCTGGGCCTGCAGCAAAGTTTCTGAAGGATCACACAAGGCTGGGTTGGTGTTTCATGACTGGGTATGGCACTGGTGTGCTTATGGGAGTGGGAAGAGGGGTGGAAGACAGGATCTGAAAACATCACCCTCTAAACTGGAATGAGAGAGAGCGGCTGTACTGGTTAATGCCACTGGGAGTAAAGAAAGAGAGGAGTAAATGTTATTTAGAGCTTTGTAAATTCACACCAGTGATGTGCATGCATCACCTGCATGCACCACACAGCCAAACACATCACTGGGCTCTGGATCCACATCCTTGGATGAGAGTCCTGCTGTTACTCAAAGACGTACCTCAACAGGAGGTTGAGCTAAGCAATCTCTGAAGGTTCCTTTTGCCCTAAATCCATCTCTGGCTGTGTTGCGGGATGACTTGGCCAAGGAGAAATGCTATGAAACAAGCATTTAGACCCAGTCCTG